TCTCTCTCTCTCTCTCTCTCTCTCTCTCTCTCTATTTCTTCCCTTCGAATCTTCTTTCTGCACTGCTTCCTCTATAAATTCTCCCTTTCGCTTGACTCACGAGTTTCAAACTTCCCTCACGATGACAAACGCCTCGCGCGTACGTGCGTGCACGGCGACGCGTGCACGAGGAAAATACACGTTCGTTCGGGAACGATTTTCGACCGGGAACGGCGTAATGCGCGCCACTCGCACTCGGCGAGATTTCGCTGTTCCACACTGTATCAGCAGCACCACCGGGCCGTGCGGTGCGCACCGCTACGCTAAGCTGCCACGGCCGACGTTAGCGTCGCCACTGTCGCTCTGCCTGCCACCACTACTCCAGCTATCCCCTCCACCGCCGGTTCGCGCCCCACCAGCGAGCCGACTAGCTCTCGCGCTGTGACACTGCCGCTAGTAGGGAAACCACCACCACCCCCTTAGTAGGGAAACCAGCTCTCTCTTTGCCGACGCCGACGTCGTGGATCGTCGCCGCTGCTGCTGCCGTCGTCGTCGTCGTCGTCGTTGTTGTTCTCCTCTTCCTCGTTCCTCCTCGACGTCGTTGCCAGTGTCGCTACGCTACGTCGATCGAAAAGAGCCTCTGCTAGTTGTACGCGCCCGCGCACATGCTTTACCTCGCATGCGTATCGAACGCACCGTTTCTCCCTCTCTCTCGGTCGCGCGCCATCGTCCATGCGTCCGTCTCGTTCGCACCGGCCGCTCGTTTTTTCGCTCTTTCGTCCCGTAGCTCGCTGCTCTCGTCTCCGCTCGCGCGCAGTGTCGCACGTCAAGACTGTCCGCGAAGGTCCGCTGGAGAAAGAACTCGGGTCCACCCGCGAAACAGGGGAATTTATCTCGTCTGTGTCGCATCGCGATTTGAATGTTAGTCGGGCGGGACGCTGTCGCTGATCGTAGAGAAAATCGGACTTCAAATCGCGCGCTCCCTTCTTCGTTTCCTTCCCGTGTATCCTTTTTCCTCTTGTCCTTTTCTACTTTTCTTTTTTTCCTTTCTTTTTTTTTTTAAATGTGCGACGATCGTATGGTGTCTAACGAACGACATAGAGCCGAGTGGATTGTTCCTTAAGTAGTGGATTTTGTTTCGAAACAGAAACGTATTAATATTAATTATCATCTTCGAATATGCTATATATATATGTATATTTATAAAAAAAAGTTGCACAGTAGTTCGTTGCACAAGAGATATATTATTGATTTCCCACTTATTGATTTGGGTCATTATTCTACAACACACATACTATTAATTTCAATAATACGCGCATTTGTGGTTTGTAGCAGTCGCGTAATGGACTCGATAACGCAGTTAATCGCGTGGATTGCTTCTTTCGTTTCCGTTTGTCGTGTTTCTTTGATCAATATTCTCATCCACTGTCCCCGTTCCGTTCCATCATTCCTCTCTCCCTCTCTGTCCCGCTCCTTTTCGCCATTCTCGCCGGGCACTCGTTTCCCTTCCCCGCTCCTTTCTTCACCGTCGTCTTCTTTTCGTTCGACTAAATTTGTTCGAGGTCGTCACCCTGACGGCACAAGTTTCTGCAACAAGGCTGTCGGGAAGCGCACTCGTAAGAATGTGAAACGAGTAACGTGGGTCGACGTGACGGCGAAAGGGGGGTGGGAATCGGAGAGTCGAGTCCGAAGACGGAAGACGGAATTCCTATTAATTCCAAATAAAGCGACATTTCTTTCTCCGTGACGTTCCAACAAAAGTGCGAATCGAACTGGTCAATTACACCCGGCAATCGAATGCAAATTCCTTCATGTTTTCTCCCAGCTACGTCTACGTTTCGTCTTTCTTTTTTTTCTTTTTCTTCCTCTTCCTTTTCTTCCCCTAGTAGTTCCTGCTTTTCAACAACTACGAACGTCCCCGTTCCACCCCGTTTCGTCGTCCAGGCGTGCTTGTTTCCATTCTGCTATACACACTTTCCTCTTTCTCTCTTCTTCTTCTTTTTTCTCCTTCGCTCTCGCTGCCTTTCCACCCTCGCCTTATCCTGCACGGTCCGCCGTCGCTCCTCCTTTCCCTTTATCGCGGAGCGGAGAAGCAGCCGGGGCTGCTTTGTGCCGGCGCCCGCGCCGGAATGCAAAAATTTCCAGAGAGACGAGAGAAGATATTGAAGAATCATGAATGGAAATGACAAAGGTCCGCATTTATATTAATGCCAGGTAGAGCGGCGATGTCCGACCATCTCCCATCTGACTTCTCCTCCGTGGCCGCTTTTCTGTTGAATAGAAGAACAGTCGAGGGTGTTTAATTACAGAGAGAAACAAATTCACCTGTTTCTCCCTGTGATCTCGGCGCAGCTTCTTCCGTAATCGGTCACGGGCTCTTTCCTTTCAGGCCTGATTCTCCGGTGGCCTCGTTGCTACGTTA